TTTGATCACCATGCTGTACTTCTGCTAGACAAACATGAAGCAGCCTTGTTCATTGACCCTTTTTTTTTTCCAGTAAGACCCCTAAATACAACGTGCGTTTAATGTGCACACTGATGGATGTGCAGTTTTAAGCAGTCATTACAACATTCTGCAGCTTTGCTCTCTGTGTTTTCTGCAGCAGCCGTATTTTGAGCTGTATGTCCAATAAAAAATAAAAAAATAAAAATACAATATGGAATGTGTTGCCATTTGGAACAAGAATACAAGTGAATCAGTGGCATTTTGAAAACAGCATATGGTTCAAAGCACTGGTTATTTATGAAGGCATGTTAAATACTTACCTGAAATGCTCACTATACAAAAGCAGAATTACATTAAAGATCCTGGGTTTTCATTATCTGACATACATAACAGAGCACTCTTCAGAAGAGAACTTCAAGAAAGATTTTGAAAGCACTCACTGAGAGCATGAACTGCACTGTGGAAGATTAAGGTGGTAGATCCAAAGCCAAAGGGCATTTTGGGATGTATAAAAGCCTTTCCTGTTAACTGAAAGACTCTAGCATAAGAATGAAAAGATAAGGGAAGATCTGTATTTAATATTTTCTCCAGAGAACAGAAATTCTCTGGTGTGTAATTTAATTTTTCTCCTGAAAAAAAGTTACTACAGATCTTCATGGAGTAAATGCAGAGGAAAAAGATGACAACCATTTTAGAATCCTAAAGGTGGAACATACAGGAATGCATTCTCTCTGAAGTGAATGAAGGAGAAGATCCTGGCCTACTAAGGAGTTTATCTTTCAAAATCAGAAAACAGCAAAGAAAGAGTATGCCCAAATAAATAAATAAGTAAACAGTGCATTTTAAAATGAGATGATTTTGTAATTACAGAAGACTGTATTTATTTAGAACAATTCATATTGCTAAAAATGAGAAAGCAAAGGCTAAGTCCTACATCATAAAATGTTTGAAAAACTTCTAACAGAACAGAGAATGTCATCATGTTTTGATTATAGGCCTTCAGGCAAAGAAAAAAAAAGCATACTGTAATTTTTCTCTCTCATCTTTCTTTAAATTCCATGCTATTTTTGATGTACAAACAGTTAATAAACATGTTAGAGATTAGCAGTTTAAAAAAGAATAAAAATGGATCTTAGCACAGCAGAATGGTCTTGGCAGAATAGGTGCGCCAAAATCTTCTTCTGATCCTTAACATGGAAGAGAGTTTCAGCAAGCTGTTCTGATGTTATTAATGACCTTAGGAGATCAGTAACTCCATCCAAAATTTATTTTATTTGTTTAAGAATAAGAAGAAATGGGCTTTGCTCAATCTCTGATAAACAGTTTGCTTTAGTATTATTAAAGCAAAATATACCTTAATTGGCATTAAGTAAAACAGTTTCCATTCTAATTATGTGGTCTCCAGCAATCTTTTTGTATTAAATACTATATGAAATGGAAAAAAAATGGGAAAAAAAAAAAAAAGAGGTACTAGCTTTTTATTTAACTTTCAAAGCATTTGCTGGGAGTGACTGTCATTGCCGTGGTGTTTGCATTTGCTTAGGAAGGTTTTAGTTCAGAAATGAATGAAAATCTCTATATTGAATATCCAAAGAAAAATATATTTTTTCCATAGCAGTCTCTAGACACGTTAATTTCTGAAAAAAAATTAAAAGTATTTCTGTAGCAATTAAGAAAGTATCTGTATTTATAAAACTATTTTGTCTTGTTTTTTGCTCTCAAAACAGTTTCAATATTTAGTAAGTTTAGAAAGTTTTAATATTTAGTAAGTTCCTTTTTTTGGCCACATTAAGTAGATAACACAGACACTGAATTACAGACTGAAAGAAGCAGAGGGAGGACAGGGCCCTTGTGTTATGAAAATTGAATATATAACCTGAAAAGTTTTCAAACTTCCATATGTAAATGTTTTTTCCTACTGAAATGTGAGCTAACTACAGAAACTTGTCAGTATGCAACTTAAAAAGATGCACTGAACTCGTGGAACTTAGAATGATGAATTCTTGAGAACTGCAAGAAAGAACTGGAAATCACTGCTGAAAACTAGCAGAGAAAAGACCTGTCATTAATGAAATTTGAGACTATTTTTGTATCTTCATGAAGCTTCCGTAATTAGAAAGAGCCGTGTGTGAAACTTCGCGTTACCAGTCTTCTGAGAGTGCTGTGCAGTAATGAAACTCTGCCAATCAGAAGACAGTACGTGTTCATCCAGAGAAGACATAAACTGTAAGACAGTAAAGTACGCAAACGAACGGAAGTAGACAAAATCAGAAATACACAGTCAGTGTCTGTGACTTTGGTGTGTGCATTTTTCATGCACTTTTCTTTCACGTGAATTCATGCACGTGCAGCATAAAATAGAGATGGATCTGGCATCTCAGTGAGAAGAATCAGCAATGGAAATTCTTTTTCTAGTGCCTAGAGAAACCTGTGCTTTGAAATTGCAATTAAAAAAAAAACAAAAAAACAACAACAAAAAAAAGCCAGGCCAAAGTCTGTATTACTGTAAAGTTTTTGTCAGTTTGGATGAGGTTTTATTGGAAATCTGTTAGTTATCTGTAGGAAAAAACAAACAAAAACGTTCATAGATTCTTTATAACTTTCTTAGGAGGGAAGGCTTTTGTTGAATGCTGGAGCCGTATGTCCACAACGGTCTGAACAGAGAATAATCCAAAATAAACATCACCCATTACACAGCACAAGTGCATGACGGTTGAGACTGGATTTGTTGAGATTTGAGTCTACAGCTTATTCCTAATCTTAGCTGTCATCCTCTTATATATATAAAGTGAGGGGATGCTCTACCTTCTTTTTTTGCATCTCCAGAAGTGCATTAGGCATCAGAGGATTCTTGCAAATCCTCCAGCTCCCCAAGGATGCTACAGACATCCTCATCTTCTTCCATCAACTCTTCTTTAGATGGCTTCCTGGGAAACGTAGTACAAGTGTATGAATTCATTTGGATGGGCCGCAACACACAGCACATCAGAATGCGCTCAAGGTCCATCCAACAAGGTATCTAATTTGACCTGTACATAGGTTCATCGCTCTGCAGCAGACATCTGAAAACTGCAACTGGAACTCTTTTTGAGTCTCTTGGCCCATTTCCTTTTTCCATTATCATTCCACAGATGTGAAATGTAAATGTAAAAATCAAAGTCACTGAATGAACAAAATGAGAAAAAAAATCACAGAGCCTTTTGGTAGGAGAGGAAGTAGTACATCCTACCAAGGATACATCTACAACTAAGAGCAGAACTAAGAGAAGATGGATGTTAGGAACGAAACATAATTAATTTCATTTTGTTTTAAATAGTGTAAAAGAATAATTTTTCTGTGAATTAAGTGGACAAAGATATGCAGAAGAACTAAAAGCTACCTCTCAGACTAGAAAAAGAGTTGAAAGGATGTAATTTTCTTTGTTTCTGTAGTTTTTTACACTCACCACAACCAGAAAGACATCCTGACAGAAATGCCAACAGGCAACACTCCTCCTATAGCCATCAGGAAGAAAAGAATGCACATTTAGAGGTCATCTTTCCAAAACGATCACCACTACCTGGGCACTGGGTTTGTACCTTTTTAAGTAAGAGAACTATGACAATTTGAATTTTCTCTGCTGATGAGTGCTCCTGACTCAAGACAGGAGTCAAGACACATAACCCTAAAACTGAAGATCCATTTTTAATCATCAGCTGCTCAGGAATTTACCAAAATCCTTAATCTTTCTCTAACAGCAGTTTCCATCCTCCTTCCCTTCTCTTTTTGTTGTGATGTACTGAGTAGACCTGACCATCCTAGCTTCAGTTAACTGCTTTCCCATTTTTCTAAAAGGCATGGCTGCATCTTTTCTCCGGGGAAAAAAAAAAAGTATCCATTTGTATATAGAAAATGGGACAAAGTACCATCCATCTCAAATTAAGACCAAAATGTCAAACTCAAAATCTTCTTAGATGTAAATATTCTTTAAAAGATTCTTCAAATAATAAGTATTTTCTTAACTATTCACCTCTTACTTTTGTGTAAGTATTATGCAAAACATTCATGGAACCATCTGATATCACGGGGAATACATGTCTTTAAAAGTTGCTCTCTTCTGCAAGCTGTCATAGGTGTTAGAAAGACTAAAGTGCTTTAAAACATGTTACTTCACTGCAAGGGAAAAGGCAAAATAGTTCAAATACTTTTCTAGCATTTTTACTTACTAGGCTAAACTGCACTAAATTTCTTAGTGTGGCTCAGTGCAAGTATTTAGTATTTAGTATTTTTACCATTCATCTGAATCCTTTAATTTTGCTTTAAAAAAATCATAGATTTTTGTATATAGGAAAAGTAGAAAAAAGTAATTCTAAAATAGCACCCAGAGTAGCCAATGCACACAATTCAGTATTCAGTGGATGCTTAAGCCCTTACTACTTCAAATCCAGAATCAGATTTTTCAAGACCTTAAAGGGAAGACAAATTAATTCCTGTTACATATGAATGTGTATATGTATAAATATCTGCAAATACATGACAGTAACATATTTTATCTTTTTAAAAATCAAGGGATGCTTTACATTTCTGATCCAAATATTTTTCCCTTATTGCATGAGTGGGACCAACAATACATTTTAGGCAAAATAAAATGGCATGTTTTAGAAAGCCTTCGTAACGTTTTGCTAGCAATAGCATAAGGTAGCATTTTCCAAGTAGCACTGTTTTTTCAGCTGCCATCACTGAAGTAGAAAAACACAGTAGAGTCAAAAAAGGTATTCCTATTTTGAATATTTTTATAATATTTACAGTTCCCACTATACACTCATATTTCAAAGTTCACCTGTTTTACTATTTCACGCAGTGCTCCTTTGAAAACAGTGAAGCAGTTTCCAAGTACCATAGTTCCAGTATAGAAGTGTTCTCTGTGGATTTCTATAACATTAGCTTGTCTTAATCACAGATTACATCTAGAAAATGGGGGCATTTACTTTTTAGCATACCTGGGTTTGGATTCTGTTAAGCCCTCTGAACCAGAGAATTTGTCCACGTCGAAGTTCTCTCTCTGCATGATCAATTTCTTCAACATCTTCATTGAGTTCTTCTTCAGGAACCTCTTCCTTCTCAGTGAGCCGCCCTGCCTCCTTTAAGAACTTTAGCCTACTTGTTGGGATGGTTGCAATGACCTAAAATTACAAAGTGCTGCTGAAAACATCAACATATTTCAACAGCAAAAACAATAAGCTGCTAATTGTAAAAGAATTTTGATATTTTAATGAGATTTTTAATCTTCCAGAAAAGGTTCAGGTTTGCGTATTCATTATGGTACTTTACATTTATACAACTCCATTTTATAAACAATCAGCATTATGCGCATTGCTAACCCGCATTAGAAATACATGGCTGTGGAGCAAGCTGATGGCTGGACAGAAGCATTGTCCTTCTTCAAAAAAACTAAGGGGGGATGTGGGTATTTGAATGTGATTATTTAAAGGAAACTAAACAAGATTGATACTTTGCAATTAGTGTTTAGGCATTTCTGATGACTGAAAACAGAGTAATGGCTGTTAATGTAAGCTGAAAATCAGTTGCAACTCACGTGTGTAAGTCTATTCACACTAAAATTGGTTCAGGCATTCCGTTTCCCTTTGATTTGGAAAATCAAAATAGTTTTCTCAGCATGTAACAGAAACAAGGTTTCTAACAATGCACCTCTGAGTATCTTCCTGTTGGACTTTTTGTAGAGTTCTCTCTTACTCTGTCCTCATTGCTAATACATTCAGTTTATGTCAGCCCATTTTCTTATTCAGTTTGGCTATCTAAATGGTCATTGGAAGTAATTAATAGAAGAGATGGCTACTGATCTTAAGGAATTGTAAATAGCAAATTAAGAAGGTGTTGAATATGATTACTGTGGATAAATTTCAATGTTGTTATCTTGGGTACTCATTTTTTTCTGATTTCTTCTGTCAGCTTAAATAGAAATACAGATGGCCATTTAAACATGACATTAGCTAGAACATTTTAAATGCTAAAAAAATTCTACTTCAAAATTAACTATTAAACACGTCTAGTAAAAAAAAAACTGCTTTTTTTTTTTCTTTTGTTTCAGCAGTGAGCAGTCACTGAAGCCTAGATGTGTGGATAAAAATGGAGTCAGCTGGAAGAGAAAAGAATAAGCAGATAAGAAACTACAGCTCTTGGACATTCGACAGCCATGGAAGTTGCTGTCTGATGGATGAAAGTCTTACTAAGTTTGTCATACTGATTTTTGTAGCTGTCAAGCATGTGCTATTGTCCATATCACATAAGCCACAGCACAGACTAAGCTAAGTTATTCTGAAAATAAGAGTGTTGAAGGTACTCCATACAGCTGGCAGTTGGAGGAAAATGGATGAACAGGCACCATATATTTTCAGGATGAGAACATACTGTTGATTCTGCTGATGGTCTCCTTGAACTTTGTATATCACAACTACTTTTATTACATCACTGTTAAAGACAGATAAAGAAATGTCCAAAGCTATGAAACCTTTTAAAATGTACTTTGTGCTGGAAAACCTGAAGAGCTTGAAAAAAGAATGAATTATCATGACACAAGCAAAGACAGAGCAGGAGTGAAAAAATAAAAGGTAAGTGCTCGTCATTGCAGTACTTACTGAAACTGCTACAGCTTCCCAGCTTTCAAAAAATCTGATGCCAGTACTCTATAGAGAGAGGCTACTTGATATCTGATGAAACTGATGTGGATGAAGGGCTTGCAAGACAGCATTTATATAAACAACTATATTTGGTATTGATTGTGTGATAGAACATAGCTCTCCTTTTTCTCCCCATGTAACTTAATAACTCAAATTTCACCTTCAGATAGTAACTACATTAGCACAATGTAATAATGGTGTTTTTCAGCAAAATGTGTATTAAAAGCTGTTCTAATTGAGCTTATTCTTCAAAAAAAATCAAAGGTCCAGCTGTCCAAAAAGCTTATGTAGTAATTTTTTTCCCATAATACATCAGTTTTGAAAGCTAGAAGTTACTCATTACAATTCAATCAAATCAATACTGTATTCAACTGCATCAGCAATTTCTTGCTTGGCAAATGAGCAGATCAATATGCATCTTTATATCTGAGAAGCAAAATGTTAATATTTTTTGCACTTCTTAAGATGTGTCAGGTAGCACCCACTTAAAGACATTAAAAGTATATTCAAAGATAAAAAAAAAACAACTACTAGTATTTGTAATCCGATTTTATATATAAAATGTAATACTTTAACAAAACTAGTTGTAACTGTACTATGACAGCTAATCACGTAACTTAATTATCACATGGACACTTGTTTTTACTTGTATATATAACCTGGTATCACCTAATGATGATACAGGTTTTAGCAGAATTCATAAATGATGTGAATTAATCTGCACTTTTCTGCAACTATGCTAGGAAAAATTTCCTTTTTCTGTCACCTCTTCCTCTGTCCTTTGCACACAAAAGTAGGATTGCTGCAGGCGTATATTAAAGGCATTAGGCTTGGTCTTATGCAAGTTACAATGTGTGGTTTGACATAGCACTGGAATGTCTTTCCACTTTCAAAAATTTGTCATGGCCAAACAGACATTGCTTTGGGTACTCTATAAGAAGCTTATAGTGCATTTGCTATATGGTTTTATGTTTATATGTTGTGAATCAAATGTCTTTCACACAGAGCACTGTGGATGATAGCTTGGTTTTTTCTGATAGCATACCCTGCTTAGGGAAAGAAAAGATATGAAAATTAACAGGAATGAAAAGTAAAAGTGGGATAAAATGATCGAAGTAGTTAGGGAGCTATTTGTATTTCAGCATGTGGGAAATACGATGTTCTGAGAAGGAAACAGGATAGTAGGGTCATGAACTGCTTTTTTGTGTGACTTGTGGCAAAAAATTGATCTTTGACTGGTTTATAAAAACAAAAGATATTTTGCATGTTCCTAGATGCTTACCTGACCCCATACAAGTTCTCCTAATCCAATAAATACACACCACATCCACTGATCAAGCTGTAGGGGAGAACAGCTAAATGGTTTTCCTCCAAACTGGACAATTACTATCTACAAAGAAAAGCAGAGAAGAAATGGGGTAAATAGTTTATTTTGGATGGCAGTTTATTTTGAAATTGCCTCTGCACAAGAAATTTTTCTCTCTGATATTTTATTGTACACTTACAGACGTGTTATCATGATAGACTGACACTGCCAAAAAGTAGTTCTGTTGGAGAAAGATGGTGGGAAAATCACATATGAAAAGAACCTATTCATATTATGCAGAAGACACAACCAGCACCCATAGAACCTGAACAAGTTTCTAAGCCTGGTTAGATTGAGAATGTTTTGCTAACTGAAAATCAGATATTACTGTTTTTTGTTAGCAGTACTGCTATGAAATAATGGCCCTTACAACACAATTCAGATATTTAAACTCTCAAAAGCTGCATAACAGTAGTTAAAAGTCATTTGTGTCTTCTAGTAAGTAAACAATGAACAAACAGTGAACACTGACTCTTTCTGTGTGAATTGTAAATATACAGGAAGAAGGAAGGGGGCAAAGAATGGAAGGCAGCGGACAGGAAATGTTTGGAGTAAGGGAAAAGTGGACAAATAAATGTGAATATAATGCTAAATTTGAAAGAAGTTACAACTTCACATTAAGAATTTTCCAACTGCTCTATGATGGGTATTTCATCTTTTAAACCATCTTCCTTCAATATGAAAATCTTACTATTTTACTCTGAAAGCAGAAAAAAGGGATTAAAGTATAAAAAAAGCTGCTGCTTTTCTAAGGAGAGGAGTGATAATTATCCCTTTATTTCTCAAGCTGCTGTGGAGCTTTCAGAAGAATTTTCTGACTCTTTGGATGCCATGTTGTGAGAGTCTCCATTTTGTTCCTTTGAAATTTTTGCCAAAGCTGTTGATTTTTTTCAGAGAGGTTTTGGGTGAGGACAGTTAGTGTAACTGCTGTGCTCAGAGTTGAAGTGAGCCTCTACTCAGCAGAAAGTACAAAAGGAATAGTAAATCTATGAAAAATACTTTGCTGCTATTTGTACTTAAAAAATACTTAATAATTTCTCTTAAAAAATAAATACACACGGAGTGTAGTAAGTTTAGGCATGAAATTAAAAACAATTCTGCAATCTCTCACATACATCTAAATAGACCAAGCTGCTGGACTTAATCGGCTTCTCCTTAGAACAAAATGCTTGGCTCACACAGTCAAATATAACAACACACAGACAAAATAGTAAGTACTATTCTGACATTGCTTCAGCAAACAACATTATTCAAAGTTATATTTCCATAAGAGAAGAAAAAATAGAGTAATCGTTTGTTGTCCCAAGGAAAGTTACGTGACTTTAAGACTGAAAAGCAAATGAGGGTCACAGTCTGAATAGTCTTAAACCACTATATCCTTTTTGATTCACTGTCAGAGTGCGAATCTGTTGTTGTGAACTGTGTTCTGAAATACTTCTGCTATCAGAAAATCAGGGAGGGAGTAGTAAAATTAGGAACAGATTCAGAAATGTGGCTAGTAGCTAGATAACACTTTTTCTTTAGCCGCATGAAATTGAGTACAGTAATGACTAGAACTAGGAAAATGTTCTCAAACGATTCCCATGACAAATAATGTAAAGATTTTTCAGGCTTCTCTGGAGGCATTCTGGTTCAGATTAGCAAACCCCTGTTCTTGAGCAGTTGAAGACCATCACTGTCAAATTCTACCTCCATGCAATGGTGTCCTTTCTTTATCCCACACGTAATTAACGTTATGGTTTGTTGCAACACAATATTGCAACAATTTATTTATTGGTTCCCTTTCTGTTTTCAAACTACTGTGCTCCAGATTGAAATGACTCTATTCTTCTCCTTATTCCTTTCATGAGAAAGGTCCCAAAACTGATGGTTTCCAGGATGCCATTGCAGAATTGGTGCTAATGTCATATAAATAGTTCATGTATATGTCATATGTGTCATAAACATATAAGTAGTTGAATGCAGCAACTGTGAGGTATGAAAGGTAATGTCAGATTGTGTCAGGTACAGGATAGAAGACAGCAAATGTATGGAGACTAAAGCAGAATGCGGAATTAGAGGTCTTATGAAATAAAAATTACAAATGTTGAGAAAAAGGTCTTTTTCTGTAATTATGTTTACATAGGATTGGGACAACAAACTTTTGAGATAGATATGAAGAATTACTACCAAGGAGTAGCACTACTGAGAACCTGAAATAGGATTTGACAGTGCCATTTAACCTTAGAAGAATGGATTAATGCTATAGAGTTATTGTAAAATACCATGTTGCTATTGGTTAGTATATTTAATAATATCTTTAAAAAAGTAAACAAACCATGACAGCTATTGTTACATCTTCAGATTAATTTAAGATTTCACTTGGTGATAATGATCAACACTTATGTTGTGTTAGGATGACTACATAACATTTTCCATTATAGACAAACATATTAAGGAAGTATGTTAATCCAGGTGGTTTTATAGTTCCTGTGCCTCCTACATCTTTTAGATTAAACAGGCGTAGAAAAAGTCACCTAAATTTCTTTTGAGTAGTATTAAATTTTGACCAAATCATTACCTGAATAGCAAATGTACCCAGTACAATAGTGCAAAAAATAGGATTTCTGAAGATGCCATCAAAGACATTTCTCTCTCCATGGATTTTGCGTGCGTTGATTTCATTGAAAAGCTGCATCATGACAAAAGTGTTGAAGATAATGGTGTAGTGCTCTGAAGGAGGAGAGTGGAGCGGTGCATTTCTCCCACTGTCAATTTTAAACATTTTCTCACCTAGGTATAAGACAAAAGTAAAGGTTTCCACTAGAATACAACAAATGGAGTTTGTTTTAATTTCCTCTGTTTGCTTTAGCTAGTTGCCTGCTTTGCTCTACTTTTTTCTCACCTTATTATCTACAGGCAAAATTCTGCACTCCAGAAAGCAAAAGACATCTAAAGTTCCTGAGCAGAAAGCTTCCCCAGTGATAACTTTTCTCTAATAACTCAATATACCAGCTCACAGTTTTCATAGCATTTTTCCTCTAACCAAGTGGTAAGTACTCTAAGTCAGTTCCTTCTGATGCAGTAAGCACTAAAGACCCATTGTCAGTATGTTTCCATTTTTCTACCAGAATTAGAAGCAGTCACTCTTCAGCAGTTTTTAACCTATTTGCTAGTACGCTTGCCATGACTCTTGACAAGTGTTCATGGATATTAATGATAAAAACACAGGCATTCTTGATTTTAAATAGGTTTGATCATCATCATCCTGTTAAATCTGCTCTGAAACACAACATCAGGCATTGCTCTTTATTGTGATAATTTGATTTTCACTTTTAGATCTGACCAATAAAGAGGATAAAATCCTTTATGAGTAATAGTAAAATTGAGATAAGATTTGAAAAAATACCCGATGGACCTCATTTCACATTGACAAAAGTTTACAGATAACACACAGTTAGGAGTAAGGTATTCATTTGAAGTAAGAATGAGACTTTCATATGAAAGAGTAAATAACGAATGAAATAAAGAGTAAAGGTTATCACACTACAACCCACTTTCATAACAAGTGTTGCAATAATAAAAGCAGATAAATCTTTAACATTTTCTGCTATCCCACTAGTGCTATACGCAGAATTTCTGAAGTAAGAAGCAAAGGTTTCCTGAGGTTTCCCTTTGACGTCATAATTCTGTCAGCTAAGTTGACAGTGATTTATTTTGCCTTGGGATATTTGAGCAGTTCATGTTGGGGTCACTGGGAATAATGAGCATGGTTCTAAAGCAAGAATTTGGCTTATAGCCTTTTGACAGAAAGTATATTATTATATAAAAAAATATATTAGTAACACAATATGAGACCATAAAAGTTGGACTCTGAGAGAGTAGAGATTTTTAAGCAGATAACACATCTCCAAGGAGATCACTAAGGCTTGGAAAACACTCTCCTTAATACATATAAAGGAAAAAATAATGGCAGAAACATTACAGTATTTTATCTTATACACACACAAAAAGTCATTACACCTATTTGCTTTCATTCAGTGCACACACAAACATACAAATAGCTGTGAGAGTGAGAGCACCTATCCTTAAGTCATTTATTGCACTGTGTCACTTAAATGGCATAGCAAAGGATGCTGTTGCAAAAAGATGTAGTTGATCAAAACAGAAATCTGAAATCTTAGTAGAATCTGTATTTAGAACATCTCACTGTAAAAGTGACCCTTCTCAAAGATCAGAAAGGAAAAGGCTGTACTTCCTGGGCTTCTGAGAAAATTAGTTACAAGTTTACCAGAGACACAAAAATAATTTGGATTGGGTGAGAAAAACCTGGTTTTCTTTTCATCAAGTTTCACTATAAAGTATTTTACACTCCTCAAAAAACAGCCTATCATAATATTAGTAAGCATCTGTCTCCAAAACCTGGCAATTATTTTGATTCAAATAGCTCTATTGTAAGCAGGCCATCACCACCACCTCAGTTGACGTGACATAAACTGTCAGTTTGAGCTAAGATGGAGCAAGGCTTTCAAAACAAAGTTCAAAAAACTCCTAAAATTTTCAAAACCATAAATTTAAACGTATAGCTTTTAGGAAATTCTGTATGTAATGATAAAACGTGAAAAACAACACGTGCCATTTGACTGCAGTGACGTATTGTCAAGAACAAAATATCTATTGATAAAACTATCAGCCCTGTGGGTGATTTCACTCATTGGTGCGGAGCAGTAGCAGTCTGTTGTTAATGCCTGCACTTCTCTGCAGCAAGAAACACTCTTCCTCCTTCCTCTCTCACTTGCAAATACAAAGCATAAGAAAAACATCCACTTCTAGTAATGCCTGAAAAAGAGTCCAGGATGGAAATAAGAAAATAGATAAATTCTTTCTCCCTTAATATTCGTTTTCAAATTAAATGCCATAACAGCTTGTTATTTTTGTCACCTAATTCCGATTACTTGCTTATCTGTAATACTTAAGATCAATATTATTTCTTGAATTACAGAATCAAAAGTATTTCTTGAATTACTTCTTGAATACATTTCTTGAATTACATTTTGTTCCCTGATTGCAGCCTCTCAAAATACTGGTAAAATGAGTCTTGATTTTTGTTGCTTTTGATAACAAGTTTCAAAATGAAATTCCAACAGAGGAGGAGCAGACTAGATACTCCAATTAAAATGTAACCTTCCAAGTTACATTTTAAAATGAAATTATCTCCAATCTTCATTTTGTTAGTAGGCAAAACAGCCCTCTCAAGGTGAAGTGGCTGAATTCCTCTGTTGGGTCTCCCCTTATGTTCCTAATCCCCTTACACAGTCCAGTCCTGTTAGCTGCCTAACTATGTGTATGTGTCGAGTGGTTACATTTAAAGCCTTCTGACACTTGGCTCTATGTGATCTAGGTGCCTCTAAACCATGCAGCAAGCCTGACTTTCTTACCAACAAAAAGAAGTGTAAATATTAGAGTAAGCTGGTAGACAGCATGGCCCAGAATGTTCTTCATCATGGTACGGGATATAAGAGGTTTGTTCCTGCCATATGGCTTTCTTAGCAATAGAGCTTCTGTTGGAGGTTCAGTGGCCAGAGCAAGTGAGGCAAAAGTGTCCATAATTAGATTGACCCACAGCATCTGTACAGCTTTTAGAGGAGAGTCCTGTGGAGACAAATTATAAAGTTACTTTCCTTAAAAAATAATTTTTCTCAGGTCATTTACTGTGATTTCATTTCCTCCTTTGCAACTGCAAGAAGTGTTGAAGACAAGATACTAAAATACATGGACCTTTGGTTTACCGTACTATGTCTGTTCTTTCATTGCTCAGACAAGATCAGAATCACAGGAAACAGTGATCAGAGCAGAAATAAATGATTCCAATTTATGTTTTTTCAAGTTATTTCAATCACCAGTATTTACAATCACACAGTTTTTATAAAGTGTAACAGCAATTTATAATACATTTCATATTGCTGTCTGTACTTCAACACACAATGAAGTACGTGCTTCATATTGTAACTGAGTTTATGTAACTGCATAACACAAATATAGCTTTTTTTCCTGGAAGAAAAATCATGCTGAAGCAATTTAAAAAGTAATGGTTCATTACTTGTAGCTTTCACCTGTACAAAAACAGTACCCATTTTTGGAATCAGCTAGAAATTGTTAAAAAATGAGGAAGCGATGGCTAAGACGTTTTAAGACATGTCGTACTTAAATAAGACCTTTTAAAAACATTGATGATGAAAACACCCAATATTTGTATTTAAAAAAAATATCCAGACGCTCATTAAAATGCTTTAGATTTTCAAAAGGAAATCCTGATTAATCTGTTGAGTAACTGGATAGCAGATTAGAAAATATGGAACTTGCTTCTTGTCAGAATAAAGCATCTATTTCTGAATCAGATTGCCAGCCGCTAGAAGGAGCTCTTTCCTCATTTAATTCAAGACAGAAAGTGTCTAAGGTCTGATTATAGAGGACTTTACCTTACGTTTAAAAAAATAATAAATGACACTGATCGTAGGAGAAAATGTGGATGGCTATTATACAGAAGTGATTTTTAATTCATTTGGTCAGCTGTAGGATAGATTGCTGCAATTGCTTCCAAGAGTCCAATCAGGAAAAAACAAGTTTGTTGTTATGGGTTTTTTGCTTGTTTGTTTTTGTTGTTTTTTTACCAACTTCCTATGCCTTTAGACTGAATACAAAATAGGCAGCATTAGTAAAACATGCATTCTCTTTCAAATAGAACCTTTTCGTGGAAGCCCCACAAAATCCCAAAGCAGTAAGATATCAATATGACAAATTTGATAGTAGAAGGGAGTTAGTATACAGTGTGACAGTCTGAAGATCGGGGCACTGTTTTTATGAGAACTTCAGTGTCATTCAGTATTGAAACAAAGATATGTATGAAACAGCAAATGAAAAAGTTTTATGAGCTCTGCTCTTTTCCTCAAAGAAAAATATTCCCCTCACAGCAAGAAAGACATGGAGGCCTGGAGTGTGTTCAGAGAAGGGCAGCTTAAGCTGGTGAGGGGTCTGGAGCACAGGCTTTACGAGGAGTGGCTGAAGTTGCTGGGATTGTTCACTCTGGAAAAGAGGAGGCTCAGGGGAGACCTTATCACTCTCTATAACTGCCTGAAGGGAGGTGTTGTGGCAAGGTGGTGGTAAGAATCTTATCCCATGTAACTAGCAATAAGACTAGAGGGGATGGCTTCAAGCTGCACCAGGAGAGATTCAGGTTGGATTTATTCTACAAAATTTATTCTCAGACATTGTGGTCAAGGTGCCAGAATGTGCTGCCCATGGAAGTGGTCGAATCTCCATCACTGCAGGTGTTTGAGAAATGCTCAGATGTGGTACTAAGGGACATGGTTTAGTGGGAAATACTGGTGGCAGGTAAACAGTTGGACTAGATGATCTTGGAGGTCTTCTTCAACCTTAGTGATTCTATGATTCTGTGATTCATTTTTAATGAAATATGATCAAATTATGAGTGCCAATATCCATTTAGTATCCCAAAAAATGCATGAAGAATAGGTAAACGATCAGGTCTGTTGTGAATCTGGCTTATATTCCAACTCTCCTGAGTTGAAGTATTATTTTCTCTTGAAAAATATTCTTAAGAGCCTTATAATTAAATATATTTTGACACGCTAAAAAAAATGCATGTTCTTTTTCAGTGTTTTCATAGGGATGGAGAAGAGCAACCTGCTCTTTCAGTCTTACAGGTTGGGTACACTAAGGATGGGTGGAGGATTATCATTAATAGATTCTTGACTTCTTGGTCATGGGTTGCATTAACTGGGCTTATCTGGAGATTAAGTTCATCCATTTGACATGCAGCTGCAGAAAGAGGAAACATCTCCATCTTAGAAGGTATAAATCTAAAACCACTCAATGAGACTTCATTTATTGTAATTCATACTAATGGTTCAGCTGCAAGTGTAGCAAAAGCTGTTAGTCGCCAGGGCTCATAGATCCTAGCCAGTGTATGGAGAAAAGAGAAAACGTGTTTTCTCCTGAAGAACTGTCATATTTTTGTCTTTGTAGTTTTGACTGAGTTTTCTCAAGAAACATTCCCTACATTGAGGTGCTATAGAAGCTGAATTTGCTACTTTGTGTGCTGACATCTATGTCAGTGAAAACGGAATTTGTCTGTTATGCTTAATAAATAGAGTCAAATGATCAGATTTCTATCAACGCCTGACATATTTCTAGCACAACAAAAACTCAGATTCTTTCAATCTCTAAATCACACAACTGTAATTGGCAGTCATCAGTTTTGGCATCAACACATTCTCACCATTTCGCACTGCCAATCACCTTGGGTGGCTATGGTGCTTCTAATAATTATCTATTATAGGCAGTGCTACACTGTTCAGTCAAGTGTGAAAGCTCATTCTAAGCTGAAGCCAAAACATTAAATACACATTAGTCTGGGCAGGAGGTGGAATTAAATTTCCACTACAACTCCACCTGATTTCTGATTAGTTGGTGGAAACTAAGGAAAATAGCTATCAGCTAAGGAGCTTACTCTTTTGTTACAGATTTTATTCACTTGTGCTGTAAAAGTGGAAGGCAAAGTCAATGTCATTTTTGCTGCATTTTAGCCCCTGACTGGCTAGGAATGAATTCTTCATTTGCTGTCTTAAAACTATGGGGATGGAAGTTTATCAAACTGCAAACCTCCCAAAATCATGACTTATTTGTCAAATTTCTTTCCACTTGACCTTGGAATAGGTTAGCATTGGCCTAGAGGTAAAAGGAAAATGTCCCTTAAGTCAAGTGATGTTACACTTCATTTTGGAAACACTTAAAAGTACAAATCACAAAAGGCTGGAAATAAACTGTAAATCTTTTGTGACATGCAGTGTCTCTAAAATGTTAGTGCTTGTAACTTTTGATTTAGATGACAAGCTGCGTGGGAATGAAAAGGTATTTTTACCCTTACCCCTTTATTTCTACTTGTCAAAGTACACATGTATCCATTCATAAAAACAAGTGTGTCTGGTAGTTTGTATACATAGATGTAAAAATAAAACCTTTGCTAGCACTGCTAGATCACACTGTCTGATAACTGAACGGAAGTGGCCAATGGTTCTGTGCCTTCTGAAAAGATTGCAATAAGTTATAGCTTTTTTTTCCAATTTTCCAGTAGTATTATTTCACGTTTTGTCAAATACAGTTCTGCAGTAAACCATGTAAATTACTGTCTTACACATGTAAATATATATTCTTCCCTTTTTTTTAATAAGGTCTGTAAAAACAGTAGGTGATTCATGCAGCAGTTCATTGCTGAAGTGCTTTTTAATTAGCATTTAATTTTCCAAACATGTCCTTTTAAAAAATTAAGTCTTTCTTTAGTACGAGAATAATAACTTGAATACAAAATGTTAAAATGTGGTCTTTGTTCTATCTTTCTTTAATGCAACCTTTTGGAATAATTACATTTCCTCAACAGTTGGAAGTGGAGATAAAATTTTGCACAGATGTAGATTTGTTAGCTTAATACTTCCAGTAAAAAATGTTTCCATTTGACTGAACTACAATTTAAAATCTTATATTGTACATAGTCTTTTTTTTTTTTTTAACAGTTCCAAATATAACAACCTAATTATTTGCTTGATATTGTGGATACTGGGGACTGGAAACAGCATGAAATTTCATATGGAAATCTATATGATGCTCAGAGACATGTAATAATGATTCATTTGCAGTACAGCATTCACAATTGGTAGGCAGAGTTCCAGAGTTCCAAAAAGAACCCTCACTGCATTGAAGGCTCTGCAGTCAGATGTTACCCAGAGAAATAAGTCAGATTACAGTTGTTCGTAGCTCATTAGTCCAATGAAAAAGAAATCAATTGCTAAACTGAAAGAAAAATTACAGGCAAACTGTTCAGGATGGTCATACCCTCACCGCTTTAAAAGCATGCACTGGATTATAAACAAAGAAGGAAGCAAGAGGTAAATTAATTAGATTACGTGAAAGATTAGGTGAATTAATCTGTCTCAGCTGTACTGTGCCATGGAAACTGCACTGACCATTGCCGGCTGCTATGTACACAGTGGACAAGTGTGCAGCCGTAGACTGAGTGATCTAGATTCAACTTTTAATCAGAGACTTTGTGAAGTTGGGTTTTCTTGTATGACCTACGTTTCAAAGCATTTACAGAACCACAACACAAAATGTCACTAACAGAACTCTCATAGATCAAGGTGCTGCAAGCTGATGCAGGGCACAAGCTAATCTAGATCACTCTAAGGGGCAGCATCACTTTGGCAGCAGTCACTTAGGACGTGATTTCTGCTTTCTTAACTTCACACTGGGACTGATGACATAGGATAACAAATGACCATTTCCATTAGTCCTATTTAGCCTGCATAATAAATTCTTCAATAGCCAAATGCTTCTCCTTTTTAATTCCTCTCTAAAATTGCAATAGCATTAAGTATCATATAAATGTTGGATACTGAGTTAAACTATTGCAGCAACAAAGGAGCACAAAGAAGAAACATAGTAGACACTCTCTGCAAAAAAGCAACATCAAAAAGTCCTAAGCGTAGAAGAAGCTTAATACATCTTAGCGTGCTGTTTCTGAACTACAGAAAACCTTTTCTGAGAGGTAACATTAAGAAGCATGAAATAAACATTGCCCCTTAAATTGAAATTTTCTCATTCTAAATTTGATAAAACCACCAAAAGGGTAGGCTGGGTAATACTCATTAACCTGAATATTAGTCATGGACTAAAATTAAATTCTGTGTGTCAAACAAAGCCAAATTGACTACCTGAAAGCAAAGTAAATTTCAATCTACGTACATTTTGAAGGTCATAGAAAGCTGTGCTGCTTTTTGGAAACTCTGGATTTCAGCTTTATTTATTAAGAACTTAATTGATTCAGTCAAAATAATAATTAAAAACCTGTGCACAGTTTTGCAGACTTCTATCCATGCACATCTAGCCTACTGTATGATTTTTCAGTACATTTGTGCATTCTGTGCTAGAGCTATTATCATAGCAACAAGAGAGTGCAGTATGTTCCCAAGTGTAATTTTTAGTAGAGCTTATGAGCCAAACAAACATAATGCCCTTTCACTGCCTAGAATCTTTGAGTCAAAGCCTAACATAATAATGTTCATTCGTAAGGCAAGATCCTTGCTGAATGAGATTGAAATGAGAGCTGCTTGAGATTATCAGCAGTCAGCCAGTTCAGTGTAAACAGAACCACAGTGGAAATAACTGCTGCCTTTTTCCTAGTTTCAATTTTAGCTCCTTTCAGATCTCTTCCTTTACAGAATATTTATGTTTTTACTGCCAAATTAATGAATTACATAAGAATCTCTTTGTGCAGAAATACACAAATTCTAGGAGCTTGCACATTAGAAAAAACCATCAACAGAAACTGTGAACCTGACAGTCTCAGTGATGGTGTTAGAGACCATGGGGTTAATACAAACACACTGGGCCTGATCCGGATCCTTTTGGAAGCTGATAGAATGATCCAAAGGATGAAAAAAGCTCTGGAAATAGAAAGGGAAACATGCCTGCATTGATCAAATGCTACACAAGACCTCAATGTAGAATAGTCTTTGCACTGATTCAATAATGCTTACCTCTTCAAGAATGAAATAGAAATTTTTTACTTAACAACTAGAGTTAATTTTTTCTGATGCTTTCAGAAAGCAATGAAAAATCAGCGGACAGTAACAACAACAACAAAAAAATTGCCTGACATAAATGTGTGTCAATTCTGATTGAATGTCTGCAAAACAAGGGCTCAAAAGGAATCAGTCCCCTCAGTTCAATTCTGGTACTCTTACCATGTTGCTATTAGCCCTTTTTTTGTATATTATTTAGTACAATTGTTGAAATCTGGAAAGATTTACCTTCCACATCTTTATTACTTATTCATGTAATTTCTGTTGTCAGTAAAAAGCACTTTACAGCTAAATGTTTTCTCAGTATGCTTGTGATCATTTTCCATGGGAAAACAAAGTTTCAGACTTCTGTCTTAGTCATAGGCTCAGTTGTGACAACAAGGCATCGTGAAGACATGGAGGCAGCATGGTAGACAACTAGCACTTAGCACCTTGTCGTTTTTTACTTTTCAGAAAATCAATAAATTGAGGTTTTAGTGCTTCTTTTGCACAGAGTAAAAATACTTACTTCATATATTAAGATCACTGCTGCTTGCTTCTAAAACCAATTTCTGATTTCTCTAAGAATTTCAGCCCTAGCTCTAATGCTTAATTAGTTCAGAGGAGATAAATGACAACAGTTGCACCCACTCAGCTGCTGCGGTGCGCTAGCAGAAGCTGGGAACTGGGAGACTGCTCACACACAGCTCAGATACGGCCTCTAAACGTCTGTCAAGGCTTAGGAGAAGTTTGACCTCATGGTTTCATAAAGGTACATGAGTTTCTGGTTTCAAGGATTAATTCCATGATTGCAATGTAAGTTTACCCCAGAGCAGAGCTAATAACTTATTCATTGTTCTGCTCAGGTGTGCATGAGGTGGAATTTACCTGCTGAAACAGGTACATGTGGCTGCATGATGTACACAGAAACATCAGTGCATCTCAACCAGAAGAAGCTTTTTCTAACAGTATCTCTCTGCAGCATCTGAAATGCACGTTTATTTACATTTGGGGGAGTAATAGCATTAATAAACTACTGGTTTTCTATTTTTTAATGGAGGATGAACTTCCATTATAAATACTACAAATTCTTGAAAAAAGAAAAAAAATATTAATTAAGAAATAGTAACTTGTAGGAAAAAACATGGTATGCTTTTGTAAACGACCAAAACGTGTTGCATGTGCAGCAAGACTACAATAAGAGATTAGTGTAGAGGGAGAAAAGGGGATCCAATTCTAACTGTGGGCATCATTTAATTGGCTTGTTATTTGCACCTAAGATTAAAAGGACTTGCCTGAAAGCTACAAAACAATTGTTTTATCAATCAAAATGTTCCCCTGCTGGGATTACTTCTGTGTACTGCTATCTTGAAAATAATAGTCTCGTTTCATAATTTGTCATTAAACACATACTTATTATTTGAATATTCTGAAAGGAAAAACAAAGTCACTTCTTCCAATTCTTGGCACTTTCTGCTCTTTCATCACAGGCTCAGTCACAGCAGTAATATGCAGCCAAAAAAAGGGAGGAATTTACTTCCTAGATAAGATGGATTTGCTCACTTCCTTTCGTCAACAGCTATTTAACACTTACCAATTTGATCCTAAGTAAATCCTTAATTTTCAGAAGAACTTCAGAAAGAATGCTTGTGTTGTACAAAGTAAGAATTAAATGTAAATCACCTTCATCTTCAGTTCAGAAAAGATGTAGCTTAATAGGATTTGGCCTCGTGCTTTTAGTAATGCTGAAGTTATCCTTACCTGGGTAATGCATGCTCCAGTGAAAGCCACTATCACAGCCACAATGTTAACAGTGAGCTGGAACTGCAGGAATTTGGAGATACTGTCATACACATTACGTCCCCACATTACAGCCTTCACGATGCTACTGAAATTGTCATCTGTTAGGATGATATCTGAGGCCTCCTTTGCAACATCTGTTCCAGCAATGCCCTGGAAAAAATAATTGGGAATAAAATTGCTAGCAAGTACATGGACAGAACATAAACCTCTGCATACTCAAGGTCATAGTTACATAGAGTTACCCTGCACCGTAGCAGTGATGCTGAGTATATTCTGCACTTCATACTCGCTAGGATGTTGGCTAACTGAATCTATTTTTGAAGGTGAATAAAGAAGCAGAAAAGGGCATTGACAGAAAGCATTGGAATTCCTATCATGATACTGCTGAATGCTGTGTAGCATCAGCTTATTGACTAGTTAACTTTTGAGTTGTTCTTGTGTGGTATTTTTTTTAATCACTGAGAATATTCTATCAGTATATTTGAACAGAAATGATAAAAATAGAATTACGTATCTTAATACATATTCTCTATTCATATATGCTCAGAGTCATAGTATGTTGGGAGGACATGTTTACATGTAGCACTGGATTTTATCAATGAAAATGTGTACTGCACTTCTAGGAAGAACACTAAGTTCATTTTTCTGTTCAGGCATTGGATTTTACTTAGTCAATCTGCAAAATATTAAGTATAAAAATAAGCAAGACAATCTATTATACGGAATTAAAGGATTCTGAAGGAACGCAACCCATCCCTTCCAATATGTTGCTTCATTTATTATCCTTCTCAACACTTCAATAATGAAAAACTTACAGCAGATTTATAATGACACAAATGTTAATAAATAAGCTCAAGATTATACCATTGCAAAGCCAACATCGGCTTTCTTAAGTGCTGGTCCATCATTGGTTCCATCACCAGTCACAGCTACAACCTGCCTCTGCTCCACCTGTGTGCTGTCAATAATACCTGCAAAAAATGTATATGTCTGTGTATGCATACATATATATATATAAAATAGGTAGAAAGATAAAACTTCCCTGGTTCCCTCCAAGCAGTGCCTGTGTAACACAGATTGCATGAATCTTACAGAGATTAATAGTTGATTTCTAAGGAAAATAATGATGAAAGACGTGATCAATATTATATTCAATATCCCTATTAGAAGTTTTATGGAAATATCCAGAACCATCAAAAAAACCAACAAAATTTGCACAGACATCAAAGGATATATGGTCAGCTCTTTCTATTCTTCTGGAAGGTTTCTATTATTCATAGTTATGTATCACAATAAATCTGTTTCAGTCCATCTCTTGACTAAACTTCAGCGGAATTTTTTTGCTGAAGGTTTAAGATCATGTTGAAAGTTTTCCTGAACTTGGTTTTAACTATATTGCCTGTTTGGCTGAGATGCCTTCTGGCAATCAGTAGTGAGTATAACCTAAAGATAACAAATGTCATTAATTTTATCCAGCTGGAACCAAATGACCTTTTTAACAGAAAGATGTTTGACAATGATTTGAGAAGACATAAAATAATTCTATGAATTCTGAACCCAAACATTCTAATAAATAGTCCCAATAAAATAATTCCCACTTTCCTTTGACAAATTATCTCAAATTGAAAACACTAAAAGCAGTTGGTGAATTGATTTTCACCTAATTGCCAAAAACAAAACTATTTTCTACTTATGCAGAAAGATTTAATACTTCTACAGTCACAGAAGCATCTCTGCATTTTAAGAGGATGGGAATAATTCTTTGCGCGTGATTTTATTTCCACATTAGAGTCCATCTGTCAATTTATTGGGAATACAGGATTTCTGTGTAGGTAACATGGGGGGAGGGGAAAATGACATTTCTTTTGCTAAAATATTTTGCACAAAGCCATACCATATACTCCAAAAACAATTATCAAAACCTATCCAGTGTGAAAAGCTTTCAACTACTCTGGGAAAAAAAATAATTCCCATATCAGATAACCATCCAGAAATAGGAAATTGCAGATTACAGAGCAATAGCAACCTCTTGGCAAAGTTAAGTCTTATCAGACACGCAGAAGATTGCAGTGCAGTATGGAAGCAGTTAAGTGTCCTGCATTTTTCAGTCTTAAGAAAAATTGTAAAAAGAGCATTCGCTTTCCACTGGCACTATGAACTCAAATGGTGTATTATTCTGATAACATCTTAGAATGAGAGCTTTCAGTTTGTTGGGGTGATTTACTTTTGGTATTACTAAACAAACAGGAACAACAGCTGACATTACTGTTAAAAAGTATCTTGTCTTTCCTCTTGCTATCAATTTGCTCTTTGGTTTTAATTTAATAGCTTAAGCTTCTAAAGAAATTCATTAATACTATGACACTTTGTGCTATTAACTGCTCCAAACAGGTAGAGTGCATCTTCTCATGATTAGATTCCAAATGGGAGCGCAGCCTTCATGAAGCTGAAGGGTTTTCAGGAAATGACTTCCTAATGGATATAAGTAGTGGCCAAATGTCAACGATTACACTACTCAGCTGCCCATTTTTATCCATAAAAGCAAGCTATGCAGCTGGGATGAGCCAAACACTCTCCAGAGCACAGAACTGTATAATCAGCAGTCACGGAAAGACAGATAAAATGTTGTTCTTGCAGATAGTGGCTGAGACGCTGATGGTAACCATCTCAGCTACACAGAACCATCAGAACCATGTATGTATGGAATAAAAGTCTGTAGTGCTATTGGCAGAGAGAAGGTCTTTGAGGAACTTCTCTGTAGATCAGACAAATTTCTAAAATGAAGCAGCAGCAATTGTTTAGGATTCAGAAGATTCACCTTTGCTATTCATAGCTATAGCCATGCTCCTTGACTTCTCAATATTATTTTAAATGTTTCTCCTCCTTCCTTCCTCACATCGCTGTACTGTTGAGCTCTTTTTTTTTTTTTTTTCCTTTCTTTTGATGTCATTTTGTTAATAGTTGTGATCTATTTTTACAATTTCATCTCAGAAGTTTTCTGTAGTATGAAGTAATATCCTAATACAGATTTTACAAAAGGTATACAGACACAAAAGAGGGATGCCAGGGAAGGGCATTTTACTTGAGCTGTGGAGAACTACTGCTGTATTGATCAGTGAGAAGTTCAAATGAGGGTAGGATCTGACAGATTGCCAATCACAAAGTGCCCATTTCCACTCAGTGATAATGGGCAAAAATAAAAATCAGTATTAATTTCTCAAGCCTAACAGTCAAGTAAATTGTACAAAATAAACTGCTGTACTCCAGTTAAATGCTTGCATACATTATTTCAATCAACCACCTTTTGCAAGGCATGTCAGGGGAATTCATAAGGTTTGGCAAAGATTTATCTCAAAACAGCCTTTACTGTTTCGCTGATCTGTGCTCTCCTCTTAAGCTGTTCAACTACAATTTTTCTCTGCCAAAATGAATTTTGTTCAGCACCCACAGGAATATACCTAGAGCATAACATTACAGTCAGTTCCAGATACTGATTCCACTGATGCTATGCGAATTTGGGACGCAGACATGAACCTTCTTTAAGACGTTAATTTGCCAGAGAAAGCAACTTGTTTCTGATGAGGGAAAAAATCATATTTTTGTTTTTTTAAAACAACTGTGTATAGCCAAGAGGAGCACTGTATGTACAATACAATTGTGCTGTGAAAGATACCAGCACTGCATACACAGCTGTAAGCATTCAGGATGTACACAAGTTCAGGTGCTACTGATGCAGGAAAGCTGATCATCCCATTCACTTAATCATATTTATCTTTCTTTGACAAGCCAAATAAAGACAGATGTGGTAATACATTTTCACGGGCTTGTTCTGTTGAGATTCATGTTTTACACTTTTCAAACCTCATGTTCATCTAACAAGAATTTAGAAAATCTGACTGAAGGAGATAATTTGAATTCACTTAATGCTTACCTACTTGCATGACAGAACTTCAAAGGTTAACGTGAAAGTGTTTAAAATAACATTACAGACAGCATTGGTAAGTATTAAGTGAATACTGTTCTGCAAAGATCATGATAGTAGAAAATCAGGGAAAAATATGGCACAAACGTGTGGGATTTTTGTTCTGAGCAGGTACCTTTATATTTCAGTTAGAAGACTAATATTTAAGTTCAGAATTTCAGTTGATTCATTTATTTTTAATTAATTTACCTAGCGTCATGGCATGTCAGTACTAATGAGGTCAGCAGTACAATAATACTGTCACAAGGAAGAATATTTGGAACATTTTAGTAATTAAAGGTAATAATTACAAAAATTTCTTCTAAAGTTTCTTTTCTGCTTTCTAATCTTACAAAGAAAGAGAACAGCTGTTTTTAGTATCATGGAAAAATAATCTCAACCAAATTTAAACATACTGGAAAACACAGCTTCTTTAACTTGTAAGCTGACTATTTTATCTTCTGCATTTTCTGATAAGATGAGGATGCTGTTTCCATCAGTAACAAGCTGCTTCTTTTTACTGTTTTAAAAACCAATATGACAATTTTGAAATATTTCAGTAATAATATAATGACACATCACTATAGATAACAAGCATTTGTATTGCTATATTTTAAGGTAAACAATAATTTGAAATCATACCAACTGACTTCATGAAGTTAATAAGAGACTGCATTTCAACTGGATTGAGACATCTAAGTGAACTGTTTTTGTTTCACTGAAACACTTTGGGATGCTAAATCACTTTGACATTTTTTTTCAATCCATCTCTATTTCAAATACATAAATATTTGAGAGAACACGCTCTGCCCAGCCTTAAATGCTGAGCCATGTGTTTCTCTAGTCCCTCAGCAATAGTAAAAACAGAAATGTAAAAGAAAAAGAATCCTTTTGCTGGGTGAGACTGCACTGTGTTACAGAAGAAAAAAAAATTCCCTCCAGCAGCCCTGTGTCATTAAAAATTAAATATAAAAAAAGTTTATTTTGTGATGTGTGTTTTTACCCTAAAGCAGCTAGAATACATCAAAGAAAAGAAAATCCTCTTGATCCCTCAAGTGTCTGAGAAAAATATAACATTTTAACAAGAAGCTCAAAACTAGAGAACATTTAAATAGTTTCTTGTAACTTTTAATGGCCCTTAGAGTATTGCCATCCAAAAAATTCCATCATGATTTCCATAGGCTTGTTCTTGAACATTGTTTGATATTTAATTGGTCTATCATTTGACTTTGTCATACCTTAGCAACATTAATTGTATTTGTTATATTCAGCAGTAGTAAATATATTTTGGATTGTCAAAGTACATATGCTATAGAATATCAGTAATTTGTTGCTTATTTTTCTTCAGCTTTTATTGATTTCTTTTTCTCTGGCAAAGGTTCTGTTTTCCTCTTCAGGGAAAATCCTACATGATTCAAATGAGTACTTCCAGGGGACTTTTTTAATCAACTCAATGAAGCATAAATTGCTGTATGCTTCTGGAACAAATAAAGCTATAATAGGCTTTACAAGTCATGCCCTACAAGAGCTACAAGACACTACATCATATGCAGTAGGGCAGCTAACTTTGTGCTGTTTGAATTCTGAGATGCAGAACTAGTAATAATGTTGTCCAAACCAACCATCTCCAAACTTTTGATTGTGAATGACTATCAGTAAAAATTTGAGCAAATGCCCCCAAAATATACATATTATTTATAAATTGCACTCATACTACTATACTAATATGTTAGTCACATTAAAAAAATAACACAAAATACAAATTGAAAAGGATAAGATAGAGATGAAATAAAATTAGTTCAAAAATGAGATTTTATTTATAAATGATAAATATTTTCTTACTGCATCCCAGTGGACTGTCTTGCACCTCACTTTGGAGACCACTGGTCTCAACAGTGTGTCAAGAATGTGAATAACAGCAGTCTGTTTCCAGCTGCCTCATCTTGTGTGCTATGCCAGAGCTTACACTGATCCTAGTACTTCTGAATGAACTGTGCTTCTTGAGTTCTTCACGTACACTAGTCCCAACCTCAGAGCCCAACTGATCCAGTCTTCAAATTCTCCAGGAAACATTGGCTCTGAAGTCATTCAGGCATTTTAAAAAAACTACATCCAGATCATCTGTAATCAGTCACGTAAGGAGTCATTTCAAGACAACTTTGGCATACCAAAAGGAGAGAGCCAGAAATGATTTTCCACCTAAATCTGAATTCTTTAAGCAGTCAGGACAGCTGAAAGATCTTTTTGTGGCCACCCACAAAAACTTCCTGATCAGAACTTTTCTGACTTACTAAGCTTTTGATTGTGAGATCAAAGGTCAAAAGAACAAAATGTCAAGCCAGCACTAAATGTGAGATTTGAAAAAGGTTTTGTAAAGAATGATACAAATAAATTCCCCTTTTAAAGAAGCATCCATCTGTAAACGGCATGGTGAGACAGCATGGTTTCTATGGTACAGTTTTTATAGGACAAAAACAGATTCTAAAAACAAATGGAAATTTAAAGGAAATCTATGCAGAGCACACAATTAAGGAGTCTACAGGAAAATGGAACTGCCTTGAAATAGGTATGACACTCAGTCTATGCCTAGTTACATGATTTTTGAAAACTAATATTGTAATAAATTACTATTGTAATAAGGAAAATTACTCATTTTTCAACAGTATTTTTCTAGCCAGCAAAAACACACTTTCCCAGCCAGAGCCTCATTCTAGTCTAATTAAAAATTCGCAGGGCAAGTAAGTTAATACTTTTACTTGACTTATGCTGACTGATACTTCTGCTATTCCTGCCAATGAGTTTCTTTTTGTTTTCCTTTTGAAAGTTGAGGTAGAATGCAAGCACAAGGGACTTATTTACCAAGAAAGTTTTCTTGCACTGTGAATAGAGCAGTGATTTGTAATTAAAGATATCTCAGATGCATTTTAACAGTAATATTTTTACAATGCAAAAGATGTACTGAGCCTTCTCCAATAACTTTGCCATTACTTTACATACATGCTCACATATGAAGGTGGTCTCACTCACCTTTGACCAAAGTATGTTTGTCCGTGGGAGACGACCGAGCAAGTACTCGAAGCTTTGGCCAGATTTTGTCAATCCGCTCTTGCTCAATCTGGAAAACAGTAACAAAACAACAAGGTAACTGTTAGTCTGTAGTTAGAAAAATGCAAAATACACTTGTGTCCAAGCAGCAGAGGATTCATTTCACTAAGATCTGTTCTCCAGAAGCACAGAAAAATTACAGCAGACATCAATGGCAGCAAGACCAAAAAAGTCATTTTTTGTACTACTGAAAGTCTTTTACTGGTTAACATAGGTCAATTTTTTCACTGTATTTTATCTGCCTTTCTTATGCTCTTTGCACATAGTCCCACTCAGAAACATGACTGTAGGATAGTACAGTTTCTCAAAGCCGATCAAACAGCTTACAATTTACAATTTGAAACGGGTTGTTTTATTCTGCATTATAATCCAAGTTCTTCATTTTGTCATCAGTAATGGCAGAATTTTCTCAGTTATACCACAGCAGCAACTAGGACAAACCTGCAGCATATCCTCATGCTCCCAGGATTCCTTCAGTCAATGTAAGGAGTAAATGCCTGTCCTCACAATGGATTCTAAGACACAGCATAGAGTTCACCTTTTTTAAGCTGGCTTCAATAATCTGTCTTTTATATGCAGAATTAAAAATCTGAAGAACAGACTGAAATTATGCAAACTGTTAGAATGAGTGAATGTAGTAATAGATGGATTACATAAAGTGTTATGAAGTGAAAGTATCTGATTCTCAGCATTTCCATGAGACTTAAGCCTGCAGAGTTGACTTCTTTCTCCTCTTAGCTAACAAACCTGTTTTTCCTGTCCTTAGTTTGAGTTTCTTGAAGGGTATGCTATGGTTCTAAAATATGCTGAATAAATCTAGCACAAAACTTGTAGCGGTTCTGCATTCTAAGAAGGAAAGAGTGGCTTTTCAAAAGTATTTTAAGTTGCAAAAGAATACTGCTAGAAAGAAGTACCAGTCTCTCCAAGTAGTCTTCACTGAAGCAATGTACGCGTCAGCACAGGAGAAGCAGCATGTCAGTATTCTCACTGTTTTTGTGGCACATTCTTAATATGTATGGATTTAGCACATGAATTACCTCTCCCTTCTCATTTCGGATCCTCCTGTTAAATTCTTTCCCTTCAAGGCAAAGAAAGTCTTCTCCTGGATGAATGATTCCACATTTTATGGCAATGGCACGTGCTGTGTTGATATTGTCTCCAGTGACCATGCGGACCGTAATTCCAGCTCGCTGGCACTTTCTTATGGCTTCTGGGACCTACAAAAGCAATATAACAGGGAAAGAAAATTTCCAGATATGAGACAGAAATACAAGCCAGATGTTCCCAATCAGGCCAGTTTTCAGGTCAGTTTTCAGGTCAGTTGCCTAAAGATTCTCTTGATTTTAATATAAACAGGAGTATTCCGTAGCTTTTTTTTTTTTTTTCTTTTCAGCACTGTGCTGAACCTAAAATATTCAACATACATGAAAACATGAGAATACAGTTATCTTGTACAGAAAAATAATATAATTTAACTTCTGATCCAGATTTTCCTTTCAGTAAAATCAAGTTTTTATAACAGCATTAGTACTCAAATTTATGCATATCAACAGGTGGAATTTCCAGATATAAATGACTTCAGTGTTTCATGAATCATTTATTTTAAAAAAAATTAAAAACGAAGGATGATTTCCCTTAGCTTTATTTCTTCATGAAACTACCTTCTACTGCTGCACAGTAGGGTATATCAGTGACAGAGAATTTAGTGTGTAATGGTACATGAGATGAATGTAGAATCTACACACTTGAAACCAATTTATTTAAAAATAAAAAAGACTTTTTAAATAGAAATATGCAATGAAAAGAATTCTCATTTTAAAATAATAATAATCAGCAATTTTCAAAAACAAAACAAACCTATTCAGTTTAAGAAATGGCATCAAAATGAATATTACTGACTACAGTAGCACCACCTTACTGTAGTCAGCCGTCAGTGTAGTGCAGTTATGCTGTAGAACTTGTCGCTAATTAGACTGGATTGACCTCATCCATTACTAAAGAAACTATCAAGAAAGGAGCCACCATTTACAACATTGCACTGCTAATGTTGTGCTTGGCAAGTCATTTTAAGTTCCCCTATGTTTACAGTGGACACTGCTGGGGGCAGCACGTTGCCTTTGATTGACAACCACCATTCTTATTCAGCATGGCAAATACTCTACTTCTAAAGAGTTCATAGAGCCAGAAAGGCTATACATTTTGGACTGAGTGTCACACTAGAGATAAATATTATACACCCTTAAACCGTACTGTAGATAATGATTATTCTAATCAGTGAGTACAATTTCACACCATGTTTCTGCATCTTCATTAACATACTTTTTCCACAGGAAATAAATAGTGCTATTCACTTGACTAATGATACTAGAAATGTCTCCAACACTTCTAAATCAACTCAGCCAGATGCATATATACAGGAAATAATGGCTTATCTGGTCAGTTGTGTTCTTTCCTCTTTAATAAACAAGAGGCAGTTGAGGCATCTCTTTCCCAAAATGCCTCATTGAACACCTAGTTGAGGAACAGACCAGTACTTTTCTCACTACTGTGAAGAAAACTGCTGCACCCACAGAAACGTGCCATTGGCAGAATGACTTTCTACATAGATGACAGAAGCAAGAGAAAAATCAAGGGTCAGAGGTTTATCTTCCCATTCCCTCATCTCTATTAACTGCAAATATTCTTCCCAACAATTGCATCCTGGAAACATTATTTGGGCCACCCGAAGCCTCTTTACATTATGATAGAGAATTCTGTGGGACACATACAACCAGCTCAGATTTATGACTTAAGCAAATGACTTCTGATCTACTCAGTTTCTACAGTAATAATAATCTTGACTACATCCCATTTGCCAAGTTGGAGCATCCTTAATATCCACTTAACTCTGGTGACCCTCATGCATAGGGTTATGACAGATTTAGATGACTGCCTCTAAATCCAGCATAGTATATGAACCATGAAGGAGAAAAATAAATTACAGTACAAACAGAAAAACAGAAATATTCACATAAAGTGCGGGTCCCATTAACCAAGGTCATGGGAGGACAACCTAGTTTCAAATACACCTCAAACTCACATATAGTTAGGGAAATAATTCTAGCTCCCACTTCTCTCATTTTTGGACAGCTGGTGGGTGGTATCTGACTTACACTGTGTACAGTAATTATGCCTAAAATATTGTTCATGTTTTTTAATGCTGTAGGGAAGAAAGAGTCGTGGCAGACTGAGTGGGCAGTGGAAGCAGATATTTTCCATCCGTATGCAGAATTTAGGCACATACTTCAAATGTTTAAATTTTCTTTCTGCAAAGAAAACCTTCCTACATATGCATGCAGAGGTTATCCAGTGAACAAATACCTACCAAAATCAGGTGACAAATACGTGAAATTTAGAACTGATTTATATTCAGTGCCTAGATATAACAGATTGGAGCTGTACCTTGGCAAATTGCTATAAACCAGTACAGACTCATTAAAGCCAATAAAGAAAGACTGACAAAATAAACAGACATATCTCTGTGGGCACAAGACATCATTCTGCTGGTTCTTTTATTGTAGATTTATTGAAGGAAAAAAAATGTAAAAAAAAAGAAGCTAACTATCAAGTAGGTATTTAGTTCAGTGGCTGATAAAAGCAGCTGCTGACAATGAATAAGCTAGAGCCTGAATTTCATCAACCTAAGTAACCAAAGTATGCAAAATTCATGGGTGTCCAGTGGTTACACTCCAGCTAAAGCTTGTCAGTTGCTGGATACCATTGTTGAATAATTCATCATCTTGTAATGCATGGAAGGAAATGCAATGGCAAGAAAGACCCTGCACTATAATCAGAACAGATGCAGTACTCTTGATAGCATGGCAACACTGACACTGCAGTATGCCAAATATGTGAATATTTGAACACAGCAACAGTGCATATAGGCAAAAAAATCTTAAGTAAAACAAAGTTAAAAAATCAAGCCTTTCTTAGTAAAAACATCGGAGCAGAAGGGACAGTAAAGATTTTCAGGATGGTGACACTGGATCGCTTTATTGGAATTACTTAATCTGCCAATTGTGACAGAATAAATCCTGATATCCATGAATACTGAGAATATCAATAAAACAGAAATAATAATAACAGTTCTCATTTTTATGCTTTTTCTCCTGCAGAAAACACTTTGATAATTTATAAACTCCAATGGTGTTTCTGTTTAATAGGTAGAATTAATCCTGGTAAAATAATATGATCATTTATTACAGGTCAGTATCTTACTATTTGCAACTACAATGGCAATTTGAGTGATACATAATTGAGTGAGATGTATCATACAGAGACAATTTTCAAGAAATTCATGTTGTTATTGTGTCTTGGAGTTTTTTGGATTATGAAACAGTTGAAAGGGATATGGGGAAAAATTCCCACAAAACAAAGTCTCAGAAAAAGAACTATAGGCTTGTCCAACATATGGCAAAATCTGAAATGATAAACATTTTATCATGTCTCTTGCAATGAAAAAAAAGTCACTACAATTTTTTTATGTTAATTACAAGAAAATCAATACATCAGTCAGATAATTTTCTAAAAACAAAGTGTTTTGATACCTTCATGTTCTTTGAGCCTTTAAACAGACTTTAGACTTGACCAGTTTGTTTGTACGAAATTACTGTCTATGAAATGAGAGCAGCTTTCTCATAAAACATGCTCAGAATAAGGAAAGGATAATTTGCAGCTATTTTAAAAATTATCTGCAAATCCTATTGCTACCCATTCCCTCAGTCTTACACATAATCCGACTTAAAGCTATTTTTGAACAATGTGTATCATTAGTCAGTTTTGGAGGTGAAGAGAACTGGTTCATAGTTCCATTGGTCACTGACACTTTACAAACTTCCTGAGCTTATCTGTATTCTAGTTAGAGCATTAGGAGTGGGATCCATGCAGAAAGAATATTTTAATATTATTTTGAAACAGTTTTCAAGATGCAGTGTGAAGTGTAGGGACAGATGGATTAGCAGCAAGACACCATCTGATGACAGTTAAAGTGAAAGCTGTTTATCCATTGACTGCAGAGGTAAAGGTTTTATCATTGTTTTCACTTAGCCAAGACTTACTGGATATGATTACATTTCTCAATACTAAAAAAAGTCAAACATATCCATGATCATTCAACGTGCAGTTATGCAATTGGTGCCTGTAGGTGTAATTGTATCATACTAATTTCCTTCACTTATTTTCCAAAGTTACAGCAGTCAAAAATGTATAAAGGCCTAATTTAAAACTGACTTAGGGAAATAATTTTCCTTGCATGTTTAACATTGCCACCGTTTCTCAGTGGATCAAACACAAAGATTTAGATGTTATTTTAAAAATCAAAAAAAAAAAAAAGAAGAAGAAGAACAAGACAGCAAAAAAGACCAATATTGGAACCAAGGTACTTTATGCAGAATCAGAACATACTCTTTTTGTGTAGGGAAATTCCAGTTACCATTCAGTGATCTTATTCCAGAGCAAACCCACAGTCATTAATCATCTACTGAAATAACTGCACCATCAAAGAATTAATTTCCTGAAGCAAAATGGGATAACATTTAATCACACACTCTCATCTGCAGTGGGTGTTGGGACTGGTGCTCTCAAATCACATTGTGCAGCTGCATGCTATGGCCATATGCTTATGGTTGAGTCAATGAGTAAAACATCAAAAGAAGATATTGCAGATGCCAGCATTTTATTCTCTAAATTTTAAATTTTGGGGTGTACCCTCAGTAGGTCAGTTTCTACAATGTAAAATTGAACTGATTTTCCACTGCCAGGATTAACTATCAAGGACCATGTATGTTTGTCACAAGCAATGTTTCTACCTCCCTTTGTGCCTTTGGTATTACTGTAGTAATATAATTCACAAGCGTAGTAGCAGGATAAGTCTCATTAAAGACTGATTTGGAATAATACGGCACCTCTTTCCAACGTGCACATACTGATTTTCTCAGTTAACTTGAATTTAAGCTTTAGGCCCATTTTTAAAGCCGTTTAAGAACAGTATCCCTGAAATCTACAGCATGTCCAAGATAAAGCTTTTCCTTGTCCAAAGATGCTATTTACAAGTTCTCCTGAATAGCACAAGTTACGTCCTTAGGACAGTTTGTAAAGTGGCAGATGTTTTAGTAAAACACAGATCTCCGAGACTACTTGTGTTAGCTGTGGAAGATACCACACAATTACAGTCATGGCAATTATAGTCACTACTCCTGTTTTTTTTCTACTTGCACCTCACCACGTTGAGAGCACAATAAAACTCCTGCTGACAATTCTCCCGCATTCTCTTCCATGAGAGAAATTTAAATCATTTAAATCCTCTAGCTCACAAAGACCTATGCTGCTAAATTTAAATGAACTTTTATCAAATTAATTATTTTTCTCAATCAACTAAAGCTTGTTTTTAAAGTTCACTACCATCATCTTTGTTACAGCTACATAAAACAAGAAAAAGGAAAGATGAAAACCACAAGAAATCTAGAAATCAATTCATGTTTCATTCTCTAAGAACTACTTTATAACATAAGAATTTAATTTACCTCTGGTCTTACTGGATCTTCAATGCCGACAACACAGATGCAAGTCAGATCAGATAAAATGTCATTTTCGTTGTCCCAGTCAGGTTCTGGGCTGCTGTTGAAGTCTCGGAAAGCAACACAGATAGTTCTCAATCCATCACAGGCCATTGGTTCAATCACTTTCTTCACCATTTCATCCCGGTCGCGTGGTCTGAAGATACGAGGTTCACCAGCTGCATTAAGGATCCTGGAACACCTATTTTATTTCAGTAAAAAATGAAAGTGTGATTGTATATTATATGACTGCTGAAAAGTATTTCCATGTATTAGTTCTTTTCCTTCAACATCTTTTTTATGCAAATTTCTAGATTAAACTCAAAGATTCACTACTGAAATATTGTCAGGAAGAATTTGTCTGTAACTTCTTATGGAGACTCTCAGACCCTTTCATCCATTACTTCCCAAAACCACATGTAATTAGTGAGCTAAGAACTTGCAAAGAAATTTAAACATCCTTATTTTCCAAATGTGTTTATGAACTGAAAGAAACTATTCATAAATGACTGAATATAGATGAAAAATGCATTAAAAGATCAAAATTTTATGTTAGCCAATGATAAAAATATGTCTAACAATTTTGTAAGTGGGAGGTGGGGATTGAGGAGAACAGTAACAGCTTTGTACTGAATCGTGTCATTTTTCTACTGTGATTAGCATATTCCAAATACCAGAATTGCCAGGAATGTCTCATTAGCATCAGAAAGTTCTGCATCATTAAGATTTTGGAAAAACACAACAAGAAATCCATTGAACTTACTTCTTCAGAACAATTTCAGAAGCTCCTTTGCTGTACATTCGGAAGCTACCATCTGGCATTTTAATGACAGTACTCATTGACTTTCTCACAGAGTTGAATGTGTAAACTTTATAAAGTTTCTCCTCAGGGATGAGGCTCCGAACAGGCTCATAATCCTGCTTCAAATCCAGGACAAAGCCCAAGAGACCGCATTCTGTCTTATTGCCCACCTGCCGAGGCAGGCCGCCCTCCTTTTCTGGTGGCTGAAAGAAGAAAAAATTCGATATTAGTTCCTATAACTTTGCTGTACACAATGTTTCTGCCCAATTAAAACAAAAAACAAAATTAAAACAAAGTTACAATGGGCAATTTAAAATCTGAATTGAAATACACAGTCACGTCCCTTCCCATTTTTAAAAACTACCCAAGTACATTCAGTCTCACGTCTTCTAAGTCAGCCATGGACAGTTGAAGAGTTTCTGATAGCATATCATTAAAAATGTAATTACTTACTTTAGGACCAACGTAATTGATTTTTATTTACTGCAAACAGAGTATTTGCTGTTCTCATTTAAAGAGAATTGCTTTTGTTGGTTTTAATGGTGAATTAAAGAAAGACAGCCTTTTGTTCTAGCAGCCAGTTCTTAATAAAAAGTAAATCTACATCTAATCATAATAGTAAATCTCCATGAAAATGGTATTTTCAAGAACCTGCTGAACAGTAATTCTACTTCTAGAAGCACCTGTTTCTAGAATACATTAGTCAGCTGCTGCAGACAGCAAATGCTTCATATGTTAAAAAAAAAAAAAGAAAGAGTATGTTAATCATTCTGTAACTCCTTGTGTTTCTCAGTATTTACAAGCACGAGGAGGGCTGCACTGTCCTATTAAACAAACATATTTCACATAGAACTTTCATAGGGGGGGGTAAATATCTCCAAATAAAAAGTTCCTGTGTTATGAAGATTGCAGATAGACTTAAGGGACTCATGTGAGCTCTAGACTGCTGATAACTTAAATTTTCCTCTACTAAATAAAATTAGAAAAGTGTTTACTTAAGCTATGAGACCCAAAAGAAGAAAAAGTTCTTTCAAAATTTTAATTTGCAAAGTATCACACCAATTAAAACATTTGCATTTGATAAGCCTAAGCCATCAGTTCCTGTGTGACTTAAACATTTCCCTCACGTTCTGCAGAATCAGAGATGAGTGACTATATTCAGAATGACGTCCCTGTTCTCAGCGTAGACTTTTAAATCCAGTCTACTTGTGAAATATCTGTGGGATGAAGGATAACTCAGGGAATGATAAACTCAAATTGCAAATCCGTAAACCTACAGAGATTTAAATTCTTGCAACAAGTTCTGTCACAAAGAGCAGAAAGGGGAACTTCAGGGAATTATTAGTAAATATCCCAGAGAAACACTTTTGCAGCTAGTTCGAAAATGAATGACTGATAGATAATAACAGACCAATATGGGGGGACAAAAAAAACTTGACCAGATTTACCTAAGAACTACATTTCTATCGCCAGACAAGGTGCATATACCTGGTGACAAATTGATATGATTTCCTTAACAGAGAGAGATGTTTCTAAGGTGAACAGTGCAGAATAAAAAAAAAATCAGTTCCAGAAAAATTTATCCTTTCAGAAACAAATTGTAACACTGCTAGATTTGATATGAACCATGACTCACATGGGTCAGATTTGTATTACTATGACATTTTAGCATTACACCCCATAGTCAAAGTAAAACACACCTAAAAATATGCTAATATGGTACATTAGTTTTATTACATACTGTAAAAGCATGCTTTCCTACAATCCCATAACAGTGTGATGCAACTTCCCTTTGGATTCTCAAATTCACTTAAGAATTCCTGCCTTAAGACCCAGTGACATACAGTTACATGTATTTCAAAGGATTGTTGAATTCAGCAGACAGAAAAATTTCAGGTAGGAATCAACAAATTACTCACTTGAATAAATAAGGTTAATTTTCACAACATTGCAGGCACACAGTTCTCAAAACATGCTAAGAACTTCAGGTTATTCAAAACAGTGGATTTAGTCAACTTCACTGCATGAGTAGCAGTGTTAGGGAGGGCTGATTTCTCTCCATACATTCTATCAAACTCATTCCATTTTAGCTTTAAATCCCTATTAATGTTGATTTTCTCTGCCACTAAAGACAGTTAATCTCAACACTGACATAAACGTGGACATAGCAAGCAAGGAAATCCACACTGGAAACCATTTAAATACAGACAGATTTCTTTCCAACACAAACACAGAATCCTAGAAAATAGTTTATTTATACGTACGATTTCATCATAAATAGCTGTGAATGGATACTGAGAAAATAAAAGTCTACCTACGTTTCACAGTATGCAAACTACAGTCCTTGCAAAATTTGGTTTTGTTTGTTCCTAGAGTAGATCACACTTCCCTCAACTCACAGTGGTCTAAAAATAGACTACTTTTAGTGATCATCTTCTGAATGCTAATACGTAAGCATAGGGAAAAAATACCAGTGAAAAGAAAATGAACAGACATTTCAGAAAGGTTTCAAAATCTGCTAACAAGTGGCCACCTCCCTCTAGAGCAGCTGCTGTCTCTGTACTCTTTGTACATTACATTAAAATAAAACATATGGTGATGAGAGCTGGCAAGTAGCACTTCCTTCCCTGTACTGTTTCAGCTGAAAATCTATATGCCAAAACTAGTTTCCTTGAAGACCGTTCTTGACAATCCTTTGCAGAAGCTGCTAGCTGTTAAAATTTTGTACTGTGGTGAATCTAAATGTATTGTTTGCTGAAACCTGCAGGTTATGGCACCTGGAACACAATTTAAAAGACTGCACAAAGTAGTTACTTTTGAATAATTAACTAGGAATCACTTCATTAACTCAGAGAATGAAAATGCTTTCACACCGTATGAGAAAAAGCCTCTGAAATGTGATTTGCAGAATAAAAACTTTTAAATGCATTGGTTTTCCTGAGCTCAGTTCTACTGGGAAGACATTGATCCGATGCTCAATAAATAGTTCCCACTAACCACTGTATAATTTCAAATGCTTCTCCCAAGTCTTTACATTATTTACGCAAGAATAGTATTTCAATTTTAAGTTCGTACTTTCATGTAAAACAAACTGCAGGCAGATGTTAAAAAGTTGTTACAACAATCAAATCAAAACAGGTCTCCAGGTCAAAGTATACCAAAACCAACAGTTAGCATCGATTTACTACCAAATTTGGATTTAAAAAGAAATTCAGAATTATTTCAATAGAAAAACACCAGTTAAAATGAGTGAATGGAAAAAAGAAAGATAAAATGGAGAGCATATCTTATAAAATTTTTCCATCTTTTAAAAATATATTAAGAAATAAAAAGGCTTTGTTTTTTACTATAACACTTAGTAAATTTCATTTTCTCATTTGCCATTTTTGATGTAAGAAGAGAGAAACTGGCAAGTATATCCACCTAGTCTTTCAAAATCAAAGTATTAGGGTTTCATATATTATATGAAGCCTTCACTTGTTTCAGGCTATGTTTTTCTGTTCTAAAATAACGATTATCAGAAATTTACCAGAAACTTCTATGAAAATAATAAACTAACTTTGCTAGATTATGTATTTATTGCATTGAATAGACATGTAATGTCCATTCACAACAGACAGAGGAAAATACATTTTTCAAATTAAATTGTGAAAAAATGCCTTTCTGTACTTGAACCAAAGAATCACAGAATAGCTGAGGTTTCAAGGGAATTCTAGAGGTCAACTTGTCCAACCTCCCTTCACCATCAGGGCCACCTAGAGCTACTTGTTCATCACCACGTCCAGATGCCTTTAAATCTCCAGTGAGGGAGAATCCACAACCCCTTTCAGTAACCTGTTTCAGTGGCTCTGCCACCCTCACCATTAAAAAGATTTTCTGTTGTTCAGAGAAAACATTTTGAGTTCCAGTTTGTGCCCCTTGTCTCTTGTCCTGGACTAGGCATCACTGACAAGAGCCTGGCTCCATCTTCATTGCATCCTCCCTTCAGAGATGGACAGACATTGAGTAAGATTCACGTGAATCTCCAGGCTCAGCTGAGAGGTCTCAGCTCTCTGTCTCCTCATAGGAGAGAAGCTCCTGTCCCTTCAGCATCTTTGGGACCCTTCACTAGACTCTCTTCAGTGGCAAAAACATCTCTTGTACTGTGAAGCCCAACACTGGACAGAGCTCTCCAGTTGTTTCAGTGCTGAGCAGAGGGGAAAAAATCACCTCCTTCAGGCTGCTGGCAACACTTTCCCTAGAGTAGTTCAGGATACCGTTAGTTTTCTATGCTGCAAGACTTCACACCTTCTGGGCAGACTACGTCTTCCATGTTAATTATCCACATGACTAGGACAATCTTATTTAACCAAGTGCAGACATTCTTGAAAAACCCTTATATATAGAAAAACAAACATACACATCCTGAAGATAAAATTCACTACACATCGCTGTTTTTAAGCTCTATACTATCAAAAAGCTATGAGTTTACGTAGAACAAAATAAAAAATACACTGAAAATAAAAAATAGCTCTTTGTACAGATTCTGATCTTCAGTCCTCTTGAGGACAATTCTAGAATTAAGATAATTAAGTGATGAGGAAGATCACAGTCTGTCCTCAGACTGTTTGGAATTTTAAGTGGGTTTTCACATAAACAAACATTAAGTTGTCTCTTTGTCACACAGTGCACTGAAAATAACACGTTATATTATAGATAATGCTTTCTGATAATATATTTGCCATTCGTAATCACCACTATAAGGTACAATCTTGTTGAAATTCATTTAAAATAAAAAATCAGTTTGAATTGAGGTCAGCATAAAGGGATTGAGAGAGAACTTCTAACTTCTTTGAGCTGCTTGCATAACTGTTTTGGCATCAGAAGCAACAGACTGAGTTAACCTTATGTACGTTCTGATCTCACTCACTGGCTTTAAAGCTCAACATTTAAAACTTAAAAGCTTTTATTTTTTTGAATGGTTTAAATTAGAGTAACATAAGTGTTCCCATTCATCTGTGGTGCCTGTTCATCAGAAAATGAAATTTCTCCTTTATACCTTCAACAGGATTTTAAATGTTCATATGTTATACCAACACAGATCTCTTCCTTTAATTTTCATATTCAAGCAGATCATTTCAATTGTATCCAATTTCATCCACAACCCCTAAGATCCTGATTTTGATCGGCTTGCTCCAAAATACATCATCTTTTGTGGTTCCAT